GGACATGTTTTATGGAAAGGTTGGGGTGTGAAAGACTACCTAACTTTATTAATATCTATCATGGAACTGTAACTTTCTCTTCAATCTTGCCGCAATAAAAACTGAAGGTAATTCTCAAAGCTTTGTAGTCAAAGACATACAAGCTTGAGAGCTGCTTAAAACTCTGGAATGAAACCACTTAGCCATTTCACTCTTTTAACGCCACTCCTCAGTTTATCACTGAGAGAAAGAGCATACTATTGGCAATTGCGGTTTATTTGGCTTAATTCAACATATTGGCAAAGATCTCAAAATCATGATAGTTATCAGCAGACTATCGGGTACATCTTCCTTTAAAAATAAAGTGAACTGTTATTTATGAATGCATTCTCTGATAGCTCTTTTGTTTCTTCAACTTGACTATGGTTTGGCGGTTGGTCACAAGACTTTTTGTCCTACCGTTCGGTCAGTAATCGTACTTGTGAATAGCAACAAATCACACTCTCGCTTGCAGTGGTGCAATTTTGTAAGTTGCTTTTGTAACTCACTGAATTGGACTCTTCGCGGTCTTATAATCATTACTAATAGTTACCGATCAAACCTTTGTCGTGCTGGTCTCCTCGTAAGCGTTCCAAGTTACACCGTCTGAGGATAGGTGTAGTTTGTAGCTGGTAGTCCATTCCCTGAAAGCTTTTTCCCCTTGGGTGGCCACAGCACAAACAGACAGCATTGTACCCACGTCAACCTGAAGATAGTCTGTTCTGTCAGTTTTAGCCTTGGGACACCATCCTCCATATCCCCTGTTTTCATGAAGTCGGCCAAAGTACGGATAAGATTTTCTATTATAGACTGTGCTTGCTGTCATTCTGGCATCTGAGATTGCATTTCTGTCTGCCACACCAACAGGCCCACATTCTAGATAATAGTAAAATGAATCAGCAGTAAGGCTTATATTTATCTACATTTATTTCTTTGCTTCCCAATGTAGAACAATATGATTTGAATAGTATGGATTTTTAGCGCGGATCAAGCTGCAATAGTTGAAAAACATGGTTTACGAACTCCACGTTGTGAGGCAAAAGGGCCTTATCCTTTTCGTCTTGTCATCCTTTTGATTCATTTACCAAGCAAGTACAGTAGTCACCACTTGGTGAATTGTATGTCAACCCATTTCATAAATTCACAAATGTAAGACACTGTTGTAGCGATATCTCAAAAAATTGCCTTTGGAATTATCTATGGCCAATTCTACTCTATACAATGCTACTTTCCCGTCGTTTTGACGTCCTTTCTATTCATTTACCCACCAAACACAATGGTTAATCTCGAATTGGTTTATGGTACATTCACTCCGTTCCTAACTTCATAAATTGAAGACATTCCTGTGCCGATATCTCAAAAATTGAAACAAGTGGAGCTAATTGTAGGAGTTAGTTCCATGAAATTCGCTCTTGTTGCGCGCGAACCACGTGACCGCATTCCATGGACAAAATTCATTACCAGTATTTGCATTGTGTGGAAATTTCAGTTCGTAACGGTTTAAAATGACGAAGATATTTGCATTTACTGGATTAAGGCAATTTTCAAACTCAAGGTTGAGCTTTGTGAGCTTGAAACGTTGTGTGATATATAACCTTCCACGATTTTTTTTTGACCGCTTAAAAACCAAACTTCTTAATTAGCGATATTCTTTGTGATGACAAGGAAATCATGGCCGATCCCCTCAGAGGTAAGAAAATATTCCAACAAAGGAAAAACGTTTTTCACAATATTTCCCTGTTTACATAGATGAGTTACATGTGCAAGAGTGGTTGATTCCACGGTTCACGCACTTTGCACCGTTTTGACTTAGATGTTTGACACAATAGTCCGCAACAAGTTAGAAAGAAGGCTGATTGAGAGATTAAGAGAGAAATATTCAGGGTATATTTCTTGTACTAGCATTTTGTCTTTATGTCGCAACGAGCTAAAGTAGAGTTCCCAGATCTTGTAAAATCCAGCCAATAATTACCGTTAACTGCCTGTCTTCCTGTACTCGCCTCGATCTCCTTCCTTGATTCAGCAGGCAGCTCAAAGATTGATCCCAGGGGAACTGAAATTGAAATTTTACTTTAGCTCGTTAAAAGTTGGAAAAATTAGTGGCTCGTAGCGCAAAATCCATAAACATAACTACACCCTACTATTCTATATTACCTCGTTTTGGACCTTTTGCCATATAATATCTGTTTTCGTCCTTGACAAAGTCCTCTGGTTTTGTCTCTTTAGTCTGGTTGTTTAACTCACATATTGCAATGAACATGACCAAATTAAAGCTTTGACATCTGTGATCAACGAGACAGGTCTCTCTGCATTCCAGCGTACCTGGTGTAGTCTTGAAAGTCTTATAGGTGTGGCCCTTAAGCATCATTTGATAAATCGAGTATACGTCACCGCCAGTTCCACACTGCTGAGTGGCAATGTTAAGAAACATTTGAGAAATGAAAAACAGCTCGATAAAAAATGAAGCCTGTCGACCAGCCATATGAAGTACATCAGGTCTGTGATACCTGCGGAGAAGAAGGCGAGTGTTTCATGGAGGAAATGTTTGATTTAACTAGGGGGAGCGTTTGAAAATCTAAAAGGAGGATGGCAGGGCTGGTGAAACCAAATGATAATAATGCCAAAAAACAAATATTTAGATAAAAGCATGCTTAATAAACTTGCGAGAGATAATTTCTTTCACAACATTAGGCCAGGATAGACCTACAGCATCGAAATTTCAAAAAAAAATAAAATATAATAAAATAATAATAATAATCAACCAGTCCAATTTTTTAGAAGAAAATTTCCATTTGGGTAATCGAAGAAAAACCAATTTTTGTTTTCGCTTTAAAATCCGCCCCTCCACCATCTCCTTTTGTAGTCTTTCATTCAGATCCATAATCATTTGAACTATTTAATTGCCGCATTTCTTCATCCCATGACAACTAAAAATAAGTAGATATAAACCCGTGCCAAAATATATTAAGCTTATTGTAGTCTTTCACTAGGTTGAATCTCCTGTTTACGTTTTTCGATAATTACTACATTAGGAACCGGTTTCGTGAAACTTCCCCTAACTTAACGGCCCGTAAAGCTGTTCTTCATTTTTTTATTCAAGAGTTTTTAAATTTATACAACAAAAATATCAGCTTAAGCAACAAAATAAACTTTTTCGGGTGTCAACATCTAATTCTCTATTCTTTAAATTTGATATTGATATCGCGACCTTGCTATTAACTCGAAATATTTCAATCTGAAGTAGTTTCATCTTCCTGTTTGTATTCCATAGCACAGCTCTGAGACCCTTTGGCGATAATCATAGTTTCTTTTAACCCCCTTGACCTGTTTGTTTAGGAGTCTCAGACACGAAAAGCTAAAATTAAGGGACATTGGACTCATTTGTGTTGTTTATATGGTAATCCTATATTTCTTAAAGATAATCCAGCTTATTGAGAAACAATTTGGCATCTTTTGAAATCATTTGCGAGTAATAACACGAAAATACGTAGAAGAATCAATACATTAAAGAATCGGTGTTTACAAACGAAACCATGTCGAAAAATATGCGTAGTTTAAATGCCGACGGCTTTATTTTGATTTGGTTTCATTTCAGTCGATACAGCAGAAAATAAGTTATTATTTTCTCTTGACTTATATTATAGGCCTAAATTAAAAAAATAAAACTGAAGCCTTTGGGATAAATACTCTACATATATAGTTTTTGTATGTAGAGATGATGATGCCTAGTACCTGATACAGATTACGTTGTAGCTGGTAGAGTATAATATAGTAAATGTGATGTAAAGTCTTTACCATTGCGACAAAGGTGAACTCATGTTATGATATCTCCTAAACTAGTCAATAATAAAAATCATCAATTATTAATGATAATGATTTTGTGTCGAAGTCGAGTGAATGTGCGAAAGATTCTCTAAACCTGAGAAGTATATTAAAGAGCGATTATCTCTGACAAGTTCATGCCTTCTTAATCATGCTACGACTACTTTATAAACATGTTTTATAAATTTCGTGCTCTAGATTGTTTGACATATCTATGTACGTGGAGCTCGTGTCCAGGTGTCATTGTTATCTCTCCATTAGTTTTTTTTGACAGGTTCGCCTTTAGTCGAACAGAATAGAAATGTAAAGTCGAGACTTTTGATCTTGGTGTCAGCTTTCCTATGAGAGAAACTGTTGGAAAACATTGTTACAATATTCGCGAAGGATTTTTTTAATTACGTTTCCACTGGTAAAGAATTATTAGCCTCAGAACAGCTGAATTTTGCATGAGCGGAAGTCAGTCGCTGCTCAATATAGTGTATATATTTGAAAATAATTCAGTGATGTGAACTTCCTCAGTCCCATCAAAACTATTTAGACATAAAAACTCCCGTGCATGATTGTTCTCTATTATTGGAATTAGTCGAATTTTAGTGGGTCAGTTTTAATTGTTTTTCTTTATTTAGTTGTATTGACCCAGAAATAGGATGCGTATTTGGGAAACGAATTCATTTTGCGCCACTGTAAGTACGTCAAAAATATATGCTAGAGTAAAAGTTAGTAAAACAAGGCTCTATCAAAACTATTTGTTGATAAATTTCATGGTCTTGAGTACTTATTATTTGGAATGTTTTTCTTAGAATAAACTTATGATCCTTATTTCACAAAAAAATACTGTCCATGAAATTGTGATTGCAATATTTATGTATCATTTGTAGGATAGAAGGGGTGCTCTATGATACACAAACAATGAAAGGGACAGTTTTTTGTACCACGTGGTACAAATAAACCAATTATATGGGATCTAAGGTGGTGATTTGATATAACGCGTGAAATAAAATGCTTTCTCTGGCTGGTTGGTAAGCAGGTGAAAATTTTATAAGTTATGATTAAAAAAAGATCATAATGAAAGATGTATTTGCTATCAAAAGACATGCACTTAAGGATATTAGAGATAAAGTAAGAAGTAGCTTATTGCCTGAAATTTACAAATCAATATAACAGTTCTGAAGATCACGGTGATGGTACACTTGCAACATATATTGTTACCTTCACCCTGTACCAATAAATAATGGGGTAATGCAGCGCGATCTCGTCATGTTTTTGTACAAGAAATAAATGAAAGTAAATGGAAGAAAATACAGTCATTCGAAATTAGCAATGATTTGTTGCTTAGACTTAACGTCTGCAGCATACAGTTCTGGTAATCGTTATCGAGAGTTATCGATTACAGCTGTAGACGTGCTCGAACTTACAGTCCAGAACCCCCTATGCCGTTACAAACCACTCATAAGTCCGTCGAGAGATCACTAAGAATGACAAGTAACTTTCAAATATAATCAAAATGTATATTTTTATGTATATGTTGATTTGTATATATTCTTTTCAAAAATTACACTTCTCGATAATGCTATGGAATTAAATATGTTTTACGTGGCGTCATTATACTTTTCCTATTCCATAAAAGGTTTATGTCAAGTGCAAAACTTTTGAGTGAAACTTCAAAGGTACGTACCATTCAATACAGTTCTGTCGTACTTTGCGTCTTTCAGTTTTCCTACCAAGTTGACAAGTGTTTGCTTCTAGCCAAACGAAAATTACGCTTAGCGACACTTGGGTCAATCGTTTTCAGATGAACCAATCAGAAGACTAGAGATGCAATGACCGGTCTTCAAATGTAACGATAATTAATAAATGAGTATTAGGAAATATCAAAACATCATCCCACCTAGGTGTCGCTAACTACCCAAAATATAAAATCAATGGTGTTAAAACAGACTACTAAATATAAGTTGCATCAGGTTCGAAGTATCACCATCTCAACATGCCCAAAATATGCTCAGTTTTAATCCCGATGGCTCTGGTTTGATTTGTTTCATTTCATCTTATAATTTGGACGAAGTTTAATAATTAGTTGGTTTCAAATAGTTGCCAAGTTAAACAATGATTCTTCGATGAGCCGATACGATAACAAGGGTGTGATCGCACGAAAATTGTTTCAAAAGATGCTAAATCATATATGGTGATTATATTTTCAGACATGTAAGGTTATCATGGCCAATTACCATACCAGATTCGAGTCTAAATTCTGTATGTACCCCTGCAGCGCTGGGGGACAAAAAAAGTGTTTTTAAGTCCACCGTATCATGAATATTTTATTGGTTTAATTTGCTCGAATTATTGGAATAACACTCAATGCGTAAGACTCATTACGCGCAGGAAGAAAAGTCGACTACTTACTTTAACTGACACCGTTTATTTTATTATTTTTTTTAGTATTATTGCCAAAAGTAGGTTGACAACTGCCAACTGAAACTTACAGGATGTTAAGAGGGAGCAATATTCTCTTGAAGGGATTCGTATTATTTCACGGACAATTAGCAGATAATTAGCCACTGTCTATATACCGGTATACCGTTGTCTGAACAGTAGTTTGTTACTAGAAACTAGACTTCATTGCGTTTTACGGCCAACTAAAAGTGAAAGGATGTTAGCTGATACTACTGTCTTTCCTCACAGGTGCATCTTTAATGAATCAATGGGAGGTTATGGGAAACAGTTTATAATTTTTTAAACGAGGCGTTTCGTGTTTTACGGCTAAACGGAGCTGAAATTGTTTTTAGAGGGAATGAAATAACACCAAGGTCAAACTTTTGGCAGATAGTTAGTAATTTCCTTTCTCTACAGGGGTGCATCTTTGTTGAATCGGTGGAATGCCTTTGGAAACAGTTAATATTTTATTCAAACGAGGTTTTGTTTTGTTTTACGGCTAAATGGAGCTGAATTGATGTTTAGAGGGGAAGAAATGATATCACGGAAAAACTCTTGGTAAACAACTAGCAACCTGTCTTCTTTAAAGGGGTGCATCTTTGTTGGCTCATTCGGATGTTATCAGAAGCAGTTCACATCTTCCTTCAAACTAGGCATTGTTGTGTTTTACGGCCAACTGGGGCTACATAAATGTTGAGGGGAAATTCTATTTCATTACTTCGGACAACCAACTAACAGATGATTAGCCATTGCCTTTCCTTACAGGGGTGTTTCTATGTTGGATGAGTGGGATGTTATTGGACAGAGTTTATATTTTTTTCAAACTAGGAGTTGTTTTGTTTTACGGCTAAATCGGTGATTAAAGAAATTGAAATAACATCACGAACTCTAGGTAAATAATTAGCCACAGTTTTTCTTTACAGGGGTGCATCTTTGTTGGATCAGTAGTAACAGTTAATATATTGTTTAAACTGGGCGAAGTTGTGTTTTACGGTCAGCTGAAGCTGAAATGATGTTTACAGGGGATGAAAAAAACATCACGGACAAACTTTTGGTAAATAGTTAGCCAATGGTATCTCTGTTTGAGCAAGAGATGCTATGGAGAACGATTAAATTTTTTCATAACCTTTCACATCCTTTCATCAGTATCCACATTCTCCAAATTCTTCTCTTTACTTTTCCTTGGATACTGACAAGGAGAACTTATTTAACAATCAAAGCTTCTTTGGT